AATTGTTCATTTATTTATTATTATCTTACATCATTCTTGCCTATAGCGAGCCTTCTATCCTCGTTTCGTCGAGGCTTGACACACTATGCATATTGATATATGTGCGTGCGAATTAATGAATTTAAATGTGTATTCTTATTTAACATGCATCCCTGCTCCTCTGGTTTCCCAAATGCAGAGTGGAGCGTACACGAAATATGTGCGAAATTTTTAATTTAATTAACATCCAATATTAAAACGTGCAACAACTGAGTACGTTATGCATGCGTTGCATACGTGAAAATAAAGTAAATATATTTTTTTTTTATACGATATCAAATGCATTATATTATTATTGTACAATCGTTTAGGCCCGAATTTATAACGTTAACGGCTATGATAATGGTACTGAAAAAGAGTTTAAACTCGGCTTCTAGTGTTACCTGGGGAAAATAAATTGTTTACGAGAGATGCTCTCATGAAATTTTACGCCTTTATTCAACTATCTTTACCCAGGGCCAAAAGGTATTATATATCAGGTTTTTATGTTTCCGTCTCTAAATATTTTTTATATAGACACCGGAAATGTGTTTTCATCATAGTTTCTAGATGCTGTAAAACTTTTCTCATTTTTATTGTTCTGCATGTCAATAAATTTTCTTCGAAAAAACAATTCTTTCAAAAGTTTTCTTCTTTTCCAATCCCAAGTTCTACTATTGCTATTTGTCTTCTATCGTCTTTTCCTATCACAAGTCAGGATAAAATCATGCGTCTTCTTCAAAAATAGTAGTCATCCTGCCTATTCTTATTAATTTACCTGACCCCTGGTCCTTCCGCGATCTCGCTCGATACGCAAGAAGTACCTTTATTCTTTACTCACAATCTGTAATTCTTTTTCTCTTCAATACCCAGCATACTTTAACCGCTCCTCAGTAGTCGGTTAAAGGAATATTAGGTTACGTCATAACAGCTCCAACTGCTGTTCAAAACGAATTCGACGAAACTCTGAGGTTTCGCGTGGTACTCATCACCCTTAACCCACTTCAAAAATAGTCGCTGTGCGGCTCCGTCAAGCATTACACTCCTTAAATAGTGTGGTCACACACCCACACTCGCACATCAGGCAATTGTGGAGCTCTACTTTTGGTCAAAGGCAAACAGATAAGTCGCGAAATATGGCATCACCAGAAGAAATTCAACGGCATGATCCCTCCACCGATTTTTCCTCCTCTGATTCTTCTTATCATGACCCGTCACCGAATCCATCGTATGGTGACACCGGTAAGAGGAAAACATCGGAAAAGAGATATGCCACTTATGAATTAAATTGGAATTCCTCTTCCGCCGAGAATAATAGCACTGACGACGAATTTGTTGACACTGAGGATCACAATTCGCAAGTTAACGATTAC